AACTACACGCCAGTTTCCCATATCAGGCTATGCATCAAGCCACAGTTCAGTAAAACTGGCATCAGTATACTCACTGTTTGTTTAGCTAGAGTATGTGTTACAGGCCAGGCCTATTTGCCTTCATGTTAAAACCAATTGAATTCCCCTTAAGTCCTAACCATTTGTGTACCCGCCTTCCTAACCACTTCTCACAGGCTTTTCAGACTGTATTAATTTTAGTTAAATGATTGGTGGCACAGGCAACAGAACAAAGTCAGGGAATTTTACTTAATTTAATCTATGGCCAATTAAGAAGTTTTCAGTTACAGATCCTGGTGCTGAGAAATAAAGAAACAATTAAACAAACAGAACAACACAGTGCAGCTGATCTCTGAACTCCCTAGTAATAAGGGGTGGAAAAGGTGTATAGGCCCTAGAAATGATCATAGAAATCATAGAATGGTTTTGGTTGGAAGGGACCTTAAAGATCATCTAGTTCCAACTCCCCTGCCAAGGGCAGGGACACCTTCCACTAGACCAACTTGCTCAAAGCCTCATCATCTTTTTACATGTTTAGGCTTCCTGATGTTTTGAAAGCCATTGCCAAAAGGTATTTTACTTTAAAAGGACACGTAAAGATCTGGCTAATATACTAGATCCAGGAATATGAAAGCACTAGAAATCTAGAGCACCTACTGCTGCTTCTAATTCTATTTTATTAGGTCGATCCAGGTCCTGAATCTGATTCAAAACCAGTTGAGGAATTACATTTTTCTTCCTCCTAGTTCTTACAAACACTACTTCTGGATTAGGGCCCTGCTCTTTTTCGTCTGGGACTTCTATCTGTAGAGTTGAAAGATGATCAGTAATTACAACCATGCCCTGTTATACTATCATTAATGGATAAGGTCTTGCTCTGTAATCAGGCTCACTGGAGATGAGCCTGGGGGTGGCACACCAGTGTTTAAGGGACAGTGTGGTGAGGACCTTTGGTCTGCCATCTCAGTGGAGGTAGGGGATGAAGAGCCATGAGGCAATAAAGATGTAAGTGTTAATGATGTGCCAGAAACCGGGGGGAGTGCCTGAGAGTAGTCACACAAGAATTATGGCTTCTCACACCCAAAAGGTAGCAGGATCAATAGCACAGCTGAAGTGCATCTACACCAATGCACACAACATGGGCAACAAACAGGAGGAGCTGGAGGCCATTGTGCAGCCGGAAAACTATGATATAGTTGCCATTACGGAAACATGGTGGGATGACTCGCACAACTGGAGTGCCACAATGAATGGCTAGAAATTCTTCAGAAGGGACAGGCAAGGAAGGAGAGGTGGTGGGGTAGCCTGTATTCCAGAGTGTTTCAGTTGTCTAGGGGTTAATTACAGTGATGACAGGATTGACTGTTTGTGGGTGAGAATCAGGGGGAAAACGAACGAGGCATGGTGGGAGGCTGTTATAGATCACCCAACCAAGATGAGGAGGCAGATGAAATATTCTATAAACAGCTAGGAGAAGTCTTATGATTGTCTTTGTTCTCATGGGGAACTCCAAACTACCAGGTGTCTGATGGCATTACAATACAGCAGAGAAGAGACAGTCTAGAAGGTTCCTGGTGTGTGTGTAAGGTAATTTCCTGACACAGCTGGTGAGTAAGTCCATTAGGGAAGGCCCCTCACTGGACCTCTTTTTTGACAACAGAGAAAGATTGTTAGGGGGTATGATGGATGGAGATGTCTTGGGCATAGTGATCATGAAATGATGGAGTTTTCAGTTCTCAGAGAAGTAAGGACGGGGGTCAGCAGTACTGCTACATCAGACTTCCAGAGGGCAGACATTGGCATGCTTAGGAGACTGGTTGACAGAGTCCTTTTGGAGACAGCCTTGATGGGCAAAGGAGTCTAGGAAGGCTGGGCATTTTTCAAGAAGGAAGTCTTAAAGCACAGGAGCAGACCATTCCCATGTCCTGTAAGATGAGCTGGTGAGAAAAAGACTGGCCTGGCTGAACAGAGAGCTTTGGCTGGAACTCAGGTCAAAAAGGAGATTTTATGAGCTCTGGAAGAAGAGGCAGGCAACTCAGGAAGAATACAAGGATGTCATGAGGTTTTGCAGGGAGAAAATAAGAAGGGCTAAGGCCCAATTACAACTTAATCTGGCCTCTGCTATAAAAGGCAATTTAAAATTTTTTGATGAACACAACAACAACAAAAGGAGGGCTAATGAAAACCTTCACCCTTTACTGGATATGGGAGCATACATAGTCAAGGAAAAGACTGAGCTACTTAATGCCTTCTTTGCCTCAATCTTTAAGAGCAAGGTCAGGTGTTCCCTGGGTACCTAGCCTCCTGTGATGGTAGACAGGGATGTGGAGAAGAAAGAAGCTCCTATAATCCAAGAGGAAATGGTTAGTGACCTGCTTCACCTCTTAGACACAAGTTTATGTGAGCAGATGGCATCCACTCCAGGGTACTGAGGGAGCTGGCAGAAGTGCTCACCAAGCTGCTTTCCATCATCTATCAGCAGTCCTGCCTAACCACGGAGGTCTCAGTTGACTGGAAGTTAGCAAATGTGACGCTCATCTACAAGAATGTCCAGAAGGAGGATCTGAGGTACAACAGACCTGTCAGTCTGACCTCAGTGCTAGGGGATGTTATGGAGCAGATCATCTTGAGTGTCATCACATGGCATGTACAGGACAACCAAGTGATCAGGGCCAGTCAGCATCGGTTTTTGAAAGACGGGTCCTGCTTGACGAACCTGATCTCCTTCCACAAGAAAGTGACCCACTTAGTGGATGAGGGAAAGGCTGTGGATATTGTCTACCTAGACTTTAATAAAGGCTTTGACACTGATTCCGATAACATTCTTCTGAAGAAACTGCTCATGGTCTATATAGGTATACTCTTCACTGTGTAAAAAACTGACTGGATGGCCAGGCCTAAAGAGTTGTGGTGAATGGAGTTAAATCCAGCTGGTGACTGGTCACAAGTGGTGCTTCCCAGTGCTCAGTACTGGGACCAGTTCTGTTTAATATCTCTATCAAGACCTGGATGAGGGGATTGAGTGCACCCTCAGGCAGTTTGCAGATGACACCAAGTGTACTGCAGTGTACTGCAGTGTACTCTGCCTGAGTATAGGAAGGCTCTGCAGAGGGATCTGGACAGAGTGGATCGATAGCTGGAGGCCAACTGTATGAGGTTTAACAAGGCCAACTGCTGAGTCACAACAACCCCAGGCAATGCTGGAAACTTGGGGATGAAGTGCTGGAAAGTTGCGTGGTGGAAAAGGAACTGTGGGTGTTGGTTGACAGCCAGGTTGAATACGAGCTGACAGTGTGTCCAGCTGGCCAAGGCAGCCAAAGGTATCCTAGCTTAGATCAGGAACAGAGTGGCCAGCAGTACTACAGAAGTGATTGTCTCACTGTACTGGCCACTGGTGCGGATGAGTGACAAGACAAGAAGAAATGGCCTAAAGTTGCACCATGAGACGTTTAGATTGGATATTAGGAAAAAATGTGTTCATCAAAAAGATTGTCAGGCCTTGAAACAGGCTGCCCAGACAGGTGGTTGAGTCCCCATCCCTGGAGGTATTTAAGAGCCACGTGGACGAGGTGCTTAGGGACAGGTTTTAGTGGTTGATTCGGCACTGTTAGGTTAACAGTTGGACCTGATGATCTTAAAGGTCTTTTACAACCTAAAAGATTCTATGGTTCTGTAATTGCCAAGGACCATCAAGTTTCTTGACTGGCCACACCAGACTACTGTATGGTGAATATCTGTTTTCTATTACTCCCCATAGAAATGGGGAATGGATCTATTGTAGCTGTTGGATCATTTCAGACACAGCCAAATAGTACTGGTAGCCTATATTGTGAGATATATAATGGTTTGCTTTCAAATAGAGATGGGGCAAGTTGGATCAAAAAAGTGCTTCCTTTTGCTTCACATGAATACGCTCAGGTGGTGACCCAGTTTGTCATTTTGCCTCACTGTCTATCCATGTCTGACCTCTGAGGATGTCCATCTCCAGGACAATGATGTTGCATAACAAGACCTGAGGTTTCACCATTCTAGTATTTGGCAGAAAAAATTTAGTCTAAACCAACAGCATATGTTGGTTGAAATCAGGGAGGTTTAGATTAGATGTCAGGAAGAAATTCTTCACAGAGAGGGTAGTGAGGCACTGGAACAGGTTGCCCAGAGATGTTGTGGATGCCCCATCCCTGGATGTCTTCAAGGCCAGGCTGGATGTGGCTCTGAGCAACCTGGTCTAGTGGAAGGTGTCCCTGCCCGTGGCAGGGGGGTTGGAACTAGATGATCTTTAAGGTCCCTTCCAACCCAAACCATTCTATGATTCTATGATTCTATGATTCTATTACTGAGTCTTTGCTTCATTTAAGGAAGGCTCTTCCTTCATACACGTCTGTCATGGTTTAGACTTATTTATAGCAATTAAGACCGCACAGTCACTCACAGCTCACCTCCCTTTCTCCAGTAAGAGTCAGAGGAAAAAACAAGGAAAGCTTGTCACGTTGAGATAAGAACAATTTAATAATGAAATGAAAATTACAGTGCTACTAATACTAACATTACTACTGTTACTAAGTAATGAAAACAACAGAAAATAGAACTTATTATCAAATAGCTCACCATGAGCCAACTGGCACACAGCAAGGTCCCAGAGAACCAAGAAAACTGAGAGCAGGGAGAAAAATCTGCTGACCTTCCAACTCACTAACAAAAGAAAACTGTGCCCCTACTAACTGCTCCAAGAGCTAATAAAAGAGCAAAGGACCCAGCTATCAAGCTAGACAAAGTCTTAATGATACCCCCTCACAGGCCATTTCCTGCTTCTGAAACTGTGCATGCACACACTCAGTCTGACCACTGTGCTTGATGTACAATGGCCCAGGCGCTCTGGGCCAGCCAGCTCTGTGTAGGGCAGAGCTCGTTCCCAACTGAAACCAGCAGATTCTCCACCCACTCCTTGTTTCATACAATTTATGTCATGCTGGACTCCCACATTTTTCCATAAATTCTCGTTAACCAGCTCCTCCTTTCCCATCCCATCCCACACAGACACCATTCCCTTAGCCTATGGACCGTCTTGGAAAAATGTCCATTAATCCGTGACTTCAGGTTCAGTCAGGTGTGGGGGTCACTCAGGACAGGAAAAGGTGGAGTGTTGCTTGAGATCATTGGGCACCAAAGCCATCTCAGGTCAGGTTCACTGCTGTACTTCCTGCTAGGCTTGCCCTCTTTAGGTTGAGGTGATTTCTGTTGTAGTGATTCCTACAACACGAAACTCAGATCAGGGGTCTGTTACAGCAATTAATGTCCGTCATGCAATTCAGTTCATGGGCTATTTTCTCCCTGAATCAAATCCCCTTGAGGCACACATTGGACTTCCCCATCTCCTCTCAAACATCTTTGTGGTACTGTTTAGATATAAAGCTTAGGAAGGTCTAGAATAAGGACAAATTACAGTAAGGATCCACTTGGAGGTGTTTTTTTTTTTTTTGCAATAGGCATCATTTAAGCACCCATTTAAGGGTACCAGGGTAGCCCAGGTGATCAAAGGCACATCTGAATCTGCCTGGCCCTGGCCTTCTGAGACCTTAAAATGGCTGTTGGTTTTTTGTGCTGCAGTACCATTTCATATAGCAGCACATTGAAAAATGTGTTTATACCCATAAACATTGCAATGATTTCTCATATTTTTCTTTTTAAGCTCCAGCAGAATGCAGCATATTCTGTACTGAATGATTAGTTCACATATGATGAAACTGAGAAAAAAATATTTACATTTAACATTTATGCAAATAATTGCATCTCGAGCTAAGTAAGAGAAAAAAAGCCTGTTGGAGTTGAAATTCATCTTTTATGTTCTTGACGTTTGGATGTCGCTGGTTTTCCTTCTTGGAGTTGATTCCTGTATGTGCCTCATTAGGACCAAATAAATCGCAGAGTCAATGATGTGGCCTGTGCGAATTGCTGTCGTCTGTTCTGTGAGCTGAGCTGAGCTCCCTGTGACACTGCGCAGGCGCTTACACTTGCAGTGAGACACGTGCCTATCGGTTCCACTGAGGGGGAAAGGCTGAGTTGCTACGTGAGTGCTTTGCTGAACTGGAGGCTGAACCACTGTAGCTTTTCTCAGGGCGGTTATCGCTGTGACAGAGACAGCCAGCGCTGCTTTTGTGCCAAAGCAGCTTTTTTAGGGATGTGACTGAAATGATACCAAAACCTCTGAAATACAGTTTCTCATTTAAAAATATGGTCCTAGTTAATTACAGAGGAGTGCAGATTGAAGCTTTTACATAAATTCTTTTTCTTTTAGCTTATTCAAATTCCCAAAGTTGATCTGCCAAATGAAGCACGTGCATTTAACTTCTACTTGTCAAATGTTAGCAAAGATAATCCTTAGGGAAGCTATGACTGTCTCCAATCAAGGTAATTTTACTTAACGTTTTCTTTCATGGCAAATTTAAGTAGATTCTGTGGCTTTGAGCATAGAGTGAAAACCTTTAACAGAAGCACACTCGCAGTGATGAGCTGCAATAGAACATAGAACACCTTTTGAGTACTTTCTTGCTTCTTAGTGCTATTTTTAAAAGCATTTATAGTTCAGCATCATCCAAGCTAGACCAGATCCATTCTACAACCTTATGTCAATATGATTATGTAGATAGTTGTTTATTGTAGGACACATATAAATCAGTGACCTTGTCCATAATTGCATGGCCATGGTGTTTCAGAACCCAAAGGTGTTCAGCAGCACCTTGTCCTGGACCTTTGAGTCAAAGTGAACAGTGCTAATATAAAAGGCAAGAAAATGCTGTGCTTTTACATGGTTTGCTTCTGTTTCAGCTTGTGGAATATCACGTTCAGCGTAGTATCGTGTAGTCCACTGGTGCTGAATAACCCTTTGTCCTATTTGATTAACTAGGACATGGCTGGTGGTTTGTGTATTGATCTAGGGAAGCCGATAGCTGACAGGTGCACCGACACACATCTCCAAAAGGCGCTGCTCAGGTTCTCGGGCACAGGAGGGCGTCTGCCCTCAAATTCAAAACAGATTTGTCTAGCTAGTTCCTTTTGGGAGCAAGAAACAAATGAGTTGATGAGCTCTCTGCCTAACAGGAGACCTCTCAGCATCATCCTCCTCCTGTTCCTACCCTTGTGTTAGGCCTCTTCTACTACAATACAGCTTTTCAGTAAAAGCACTGGCGGGATGGCAAAAAGCCAAACGGTTTAGCAAAAGACCTGAGGGAGCCTGGGGGAGCATGGGGTGTTTGGTTTTTTTTTTTTTTTGATTAAACTTCATCTGAAAGAGGCCAGATAGCTGCTGAAGCTGGCAAGAAGCAAGCAGCAGGAGTGCATGCCGGGTGTGAGAGGTCCTGTCTCGACTCCTGGCTTGCCTCTTTCGAGCATCTCTCAGGGCACGTTCTTTGGTAAAGAGCATCTCCAGTAAAATTACACTGGATTAATGTTATAAGAAAGATTACATTTTAACTTCTGTAGCTCTGAATAATTCTTCATGCCTAGGTTATTTTTAATATTGTTTTGTATTTCCAGATCTAATTCAGACTGGCTTTCCTGAGGTCCTTCATAGCCACTTCCCGGTTTGTGCAAAGTGCCTGCGAAGTTACTGCAAGACTTGTGTAGTGTTACCCAGAGAGTCACTAAAAAAAAATCCTAAAGCCAGCAAGGACCTCTGCAGGGTTTGTAGTCTAACTTTGTGCTCCAGGCAGGTCTGGCTTCAAAACTGGCTTGAATTTTGGCAGACTACAGCCTGAGGAGGGCGGTTACACAGCTTGGTCAGTGCTTGGCCTTACTGCAGTGAAAAAGCACATAAAGGCAGCAAGATCCAAGGAAATGGGCAACAGATAAAAGTTGTGCATTTAAATGGCAAGAAAGAAGTGGGTTTCTGTTGTAAATGTACTGTTTTCAAACCAAGGAATCAATGACACAGCGCTAGGCTATGGTCAAAACTGTAGCTGTGTCCTCCTGGAATGTTGGTTGGTGGTCTATTCCAGCTTTAGGACATCAGGAATGACGCTCTGTGACCAAAATTTTTTGACTGTTCTTTGTGGAATCTCGCTGTGGAGTTCAGGGTGGCTGAAGTGTATTGGTTTAGCTGAAGCCTGTGCCCTTTCTCTGGTCAGAGCTGTTGCAGAGGTCAGTGCTGTACAGAGCAGTCATTAAGAGCGGTGGTCATTAGGCCAGCTTAAATGAAGCCACTGTTAATCAGTGGAGGTGCTGTTTTGGCTGGGCACATTACACTGCAGGAGCATGTTCTGGCCATAGAGGGCTGGGATGCTCCAGAAAGGCCTCCTGGAGCCTTTGGAGGTGACCTCATCATTGTCCCCCTCCTGCAGGGTTTGCTCTAAGTGCCTTGTCTCAAAAAAGAACCCTCAGAGGATCAGGTGGGTGAGTTTGGGTTCAACTGTTTTCAATGTTTTTGTAGTTCTGGAGCATCGCAACTCAGTGGCCTGGGATTTATACACAATTAAATTACAGTTTGTGCAACAAGTGGTGCCTGTCAGATCACCAAGAGACCATGTGGCCCAAGATACATATATTTAAATAGAGGGGGGAGGGCCCACCTCTGTTTTTCCCCAACTTTCTTCCAGTCGGAACATGAAAGGTGCAGGTGCCAGGGACCTCTTCACCCCTGCCCCCTCACACATGGAATCTGGATTTATTTCTACAGGGTGGCACAGAGCTGTGCTGGGCACTCTGTCTCCAAGCTGCCCTCGTTCACCAACATGACTCGTATGTGCTAGACAAGAGTGTGTGAGTCAGTGTTTCAGCCGGGGAACTGCTGGAGTGACAGCTGTGGCAAAACTGAGGCTTTTCCTATTCACGTCAGCTTTGCACTTGACGTGCTGTGGTAAGCACGTTACTGCGTGCTTCTTGGGGCCGCTGGAGTAAACCGTGTGGTTGTATGACAGCAAAAGCAGCCTCTTCACCTGGTTTGTCCAATCTGAAATCAGTACCGACACACCACCAACCGTCCGTCTTCATGCTGGTGAAGCCTCTGCTAGAGCTCCTGAAGAGACCAGCTTTCTCCCAAAGCCTTTTAGCTGTAGATCTAAAGAACAACTTGCTAAATCATGGGATTAGGAGCCAAGAATGAAATAATCTACATGTTTAGCTGCAGCACTTCCATGCTGGGCAGCTACTTTTAGATAAGAAATACATGTTTTCAGCAACTGCCTGTTCAGAAATGCTTCTTTTTCAGAATGGGAGCAAAACTTAATTCTGATAATGCTTCTAATTTAAAAATTATTACAGGAACAGCCTTTGAATTCAGATGTTAGCAGTCTTGTGGTCAACAAAAAGCAGAGGATTTCTCGCGTCACCACCCGAATCCACCCAGCGTCCAACGCCTCCAGTGAGAAAGCCCCTGCTACCCCTCTGCCACCTCTTGCCCCAGTAGCCACCAGTACTACTGCTTCTCCGTGGCTGCTTCCCACAATCCATCCCACTTCCAACTCTCCTCACACTGCCAGCTCCAGCTCCCCCAACACTCCTGAGGGATGGGGGACGCAAGACCTGCCAGTGGACACCTGGAATCAAAACATAAGTAACATCTTTGAGAACCAGCAACAAAAACTTGCCTCTCAGACTCGTGTGGAAACCCCAGTGCCTGCCTCCCAGGTGGAGCGTCCCAAGTGTACAGACAAGAAGCCTGCGGACTTGTACCAAAAGCCCAGGATGATAAAAAGGCGTAAGGAGAAGTACAAAAGCAAAATACAGAATACTGTGCGTGTGAGTGAGGAGGAGAAAGACCTTAAGAAAGAAGAAACTTCCAAGCTGGAAAACTCCTCCTGTTTGGATTCACAAGAAGGTATTGACATGCTGCTTTTTCTCTTTCACGGATAACCGTGGTGAAAACCAGTAAAACCAGGGACTGGAAATGCAAGTGGCCTGTTTTCTGACTTGCTTTAGAGCATGTGCTTTGCCATTATCCCTGCTTTATGGTCACGACAAATCAGTGGTTTTGTTCTCACACTGCACTACACTGTAACTGTTGATTTAAAAAACAACAACAACAAACCCAAACAAACCCAAGAATATAAAAACCAGAAGGTGTTCTGCTGGATACTCATCTAAAACTAGGTTCACTTTTAGGAATTTTCACTCTGTAGCAGAAAAAATATTAGAACAAGCAAATTTTAAATGGATTGCTGTTGGGCAACCACTGCTTACAAGGAAGAGCCTGGTACTTGAAAAACACGAGGAATGGATTTTTTTGCTTGACATAGAGTGAACGGCGAGTTCAGTGAAACCAATGAAATATGGTACAGACTTAAAATGGCACTGAAAAGCTAAACATAAACTCTTGAACATTTTATTTCATCACACACACACAAAGTAGGGCAGACTTCAGTTCCTTTGCTAAATCTGACTGTTGTCTGATTTCAGACTCACAAATTAGAAGTCAGGTTTAGCCCTTTCCTGTCACAGCACAGCAGCATCTTTAGAGCACGTAGGTGCCTCTGAAATGTCGTTGTGCTTGTGGATAAGGGTGCTTTGAGATCTTCTTTTCACATTACCCTGGACATGCTGCACAGTGCCCACGTCACCTGGGCTTGCTTTAAAATATTAATGCTCAGATTTGTAAATACGTGAGCATCTTTCTTCAGAAGCCAGTAACCGCATTCTGAACAACCAGGGAAGGAAAATCTTGACTACGTGTCAAGCTGGTTCTTACACTGAAGTTTTCAAATGGGCAGAGCCATGCCAAGAAGTGCACTTGGATTTTTGGCAAATTGAATGCTGGCAAGCAAAACTGCTCTCACACATTGTGTTGTATACACTGTGACTGTGGATATTCTTGCTTGTGTTTCTCTCTAATGCTTTTCCCGCTTTCAGGCTTCTTTTTATACTCCTCCTGCACCACATAATAATTTTAATGTTAAAAGCCAAAGAATCAAGTAGAAATGAAGCTCCTTTCTCTCCCCATGCCTTAAAGCTCAGACAGCTCAGATGTCCGCAAGAACGGCTGAGCTTTCACAGAAACAGTGTGTTTAAACTGTGGCAATGTAAGATAATAATGAATATAGAGGACAGTGCAGTGTGTTTTTTAAGTCTGCCACAAAGCCTCAGATGAAAAGCAGAGTGAGATTACCAAGATGCTGAGGATCCCTTCCTGTCCTAGCTAACTATTTTTTACGTTTGCTGTTTTTCGTATGTATCTAAAAGACAGGGGGCTTGTGAAATATTCCTCTAAAAAGAGGGATTAGAGGTTAAGTGTTTTCATAATGCCACTTAAAAGGTCAAAGTGCAAATAACTTTTACAAGTGCAAATTACTTTCAAAGTCAGTATGGCCACATTAATGATGAGCAAGTCTTTGTTACAGGTTGTTGAAACCAGAATGCCAGTAACCCATACACAGTGCTATTGACCTTCCCCGCTTAGAACAGCACTGCAATTAGGTCTAACTTGAGATACCCAAAATTGGTAGGGAAGGAGGGATAAAAACAAGGCATGAAAAGAAGTTCAGATTTCCATTGCTTGCTGGAACCTGGAGGTTGATATTGATGCCTGTATGTGTATATATACGTGCCTATCAAGCTGTGTTCTTTTGTGCAGCTGCATGTGTTGCTGCATAACTTGAATTGCTGTGCAGATGCCACGTCATGTCTTTCAAGAAGAAAACCGGACCTTGGGTTAATACTGCTGTAGTGCAGAACCTGCAGAATAAAGTCGCCATGCCCTCTTTCCAAACCCCAATGCTGCCTGCTGGGGAGAAGGCCATATGAGCCCTGTCATTAACTTTGAATGAGCTCTGTAAGTCACTTAAAGTGAGAATAAAACTCTGAAGGGTTTTTTCAAGCCCATCAGGTTGGTATTGTTTGGCTGTATTAAGAATCCATTTATCACAATTGTCAAACTTCTGCTTTTCTGTAGGAGTCAGAGAAACTTGCACTGCCTCCTCAGATCCTCCTTTATCAAGTGAACAACCAGACTACTTCATGTGAGTAAAGTAACGACTCAAAGTCTCTTGCTGCTCATTGAAGCAATTGAAAAGTCATCTATAAAAACTCCTGCTTAGCTACAAAATCGAAAGTTTACTAAAATGTCGTTTTAGAACAATGACAAGTTCCTTTAAGTCACCCAGGTGTCTCTAGCAGCCTTCCAGTATCTGAAGGGGCCTACAAGGAAGCTGGGGAGGGACTTTCTACAAGGGCCTGTTGTGATAGGACAAGGGGTAATGGGTTTAAATTGAAGATGAGGAGATTTAGATTAGATATCAGGAAGAAGTTCTTCACAGAGAGGGGGGTGAAGCACTGGAACAGGTTTCCCAGAGAATGTCTGGATGGCCCCCTCCCTGGAGGTGTTCAAGGCCAGGCTGGATGAGGCTTTGAGCAACCTGGTCTAGTGGAAGGTGTCCCTGCCCATGGCAGGGGGGTTGGAACTAGATGATCTTTAATGTCCCTTCCAACCCAAACCATTCTGTGATTGTATTATTTGAGTAACTGCAAGTTTTAAACTCTGAGGTTGTCCCTCAATTACTGTGGGGGAAAGAAATGTTAAAAGTAACTTTCAATATCCTTTATGAGACTTAAAACATTTAGTGCCGTTCTTCAAGAACATACTAGAAAAGTTGTACGCGGTTTTCTTTTTAGAGGTGAGGCAGTACAGGAGGAAAGCTAATTACTAAAATATTAAATGCATAAATTTGAACATCTTTCGCTGCTGAGTGCATCTGAGCAGGAGAAGTGGGGAGGGAAGACAGTAAGCTTTAAAGTCCAGCATTACAGTGCCTGTGTATGAGCTAAGAGGAGTTAACCATCAAAGTTATTTCTAAAGCTGTGATGTAAAATGTCCACTGACTAACATGAAGCTAGAGCAGAATTCACCATGGAATTTCACCATTCCATTTCACCATGGAATTGCAGAGAAAATAGAAATTAGAAAAACCACAATTTAAATTTTAAATTTTAGCTGCTTAATTCGGTCCACAGGGCAAGATAAAAAAATAATTAAACCTGTGTGTGAAATGTTACATATCTACAACTACTGGCATATTGCAGTATATAAAATTACAGTTTAATTTTGTAAGCCAGTTTAATTTTAACTCCTTAACAAATTCTCACACATCAGGTTAACATGCCCAAAAGTTAAAATTTACCTGGAATATAACCAGGTTTATCATCCATGATGAGCATTAAAGAACTTCCTTTAAAATGAAGTAGCTGCAACAAAAAAATCATTCGGTTGCCTAAAGACTTTTTCAGAATATGGAATCTTTTCCTATCAGGGGGATTTTTTTCTGCTGTTGTGGACCAGAGAAATAGGTTCTGCAAATGCCCAGTGACTGGGCTTTTTCCCCACCTTTTTATTGGAGACCTTTTTTTAAAACATATGCAAGTCAGAGGAGGATACAGTGAATAACTGGAATAACTTGGTCAGTGAAACCTGAGTTTCTAATAAAAGGTACTTTTTTTGTGATGGGATGGTCACAGTGGGGAGCAATCTGAGGCTCTATCTTCCGTTGGAAGAAGGAATTTGGGAAGGTTTGATGGGCCTTCACTGCTCAGAGCTGAAATAAGCATGAAGAGAGGCAAAGGCAGGATAAGCTTGACACTTCCTAGCAATGCAATCGCACAGCATCAGCCACAGCGGTGGTGATGAGGATGAGCCCCCTCATTGTATTTGCAGTGCAAGAAGGGAGGCAGAAGGCTCTTAAACACTGTGAAATGCCAGGTTTTCCTCTGACAGAAGGAACTTCTGTCAGGAAGGGAGGTGAGGGCTCCTTGTAGCACTTCAGCTTTGGTGCACCTTCCATCTGCATCGAAGCAGATGGCATGGTAACACCCTGCATCATATTTATTAAGTGATGCTCCATGGGAAAACTGAAAGTAAGTCTGGCCCAGCAGGGAGGCAGTTCAGTGCTTCACATGTTTGGCTGCGAACTCAAACCTACGTTTACTTCCCACCCTTTGCTAGGTGAAAGCAGACAGATTCAGCTCCTCACTGTCTGCTTCCCAACGCACTGAGAGCAGTCGTACTGGGACGTAAGGTATATGGTTATTTGGTATTAGCTATTACAGTTGGATGCCAGTAGCCATTGCAAGAAGTTCTTAAAGATAATCAAACGAAAAATTAAAGCCTTCATGCAGGATTTCATAAAGTTGCTTTAGTTCTGATTGGGAGTAAACAGTTTAGTGAAGAATTTTCTGTGAAAGGAATAACCTCAGGAACTATCTCACAGATAATCTACTGGCCACAGTGTCCTGGAAAAAAATTAGGTTGTGCAGTTTCAGACATCTCCCTGATCATTACAGAAAGATTGAGACCTGAGAGCACCTGCAATTTAATCCCGTGTAAAGGACTTTGGGAGTATTATCTCTAATGCTACATAATTCATGAACGTAATCACAGCTTTAGCATAATGATACTTTCCATCTTAATACAGAGATTATGAGAACTCAAGCTTTTTAAGGAAAGTTTAAGCGAAAGCTACAAAAATGCAACAGATTCACATTTCTCCCCACTTCTAATCTCATTTCTTCCCTCAAAACACAATTACATTGCGAGTGCTTTGCTGGGCTCTTGGCAATGGGACTGGGACTCTTGCTGTGTGGTGTAACTCTGCACAAAGCCATTCCTCTGCACTGTCACTCTGCAGGTACCTCCCAAAATGTTGAAGGGGGTCGTCTTTTAAAAACCATCTAGCACTCTGGTCAGGTGCGTCTGGCCGGGGACGCATCGCTGACAAAAGTTGTTGTCTGTGTTGCTACACACTGTCAACTTGTTAAATTCTCACTGCCCATTAAAATTGACCTCAGGGTGGTTTGAAGGATTCACCCCCATGTCCAGGTACCTGTGTCACCCAAGAAGAACCATGTCTTAGGCCAGAAGGAGCAGAGGTGATGGTGGTAGGAGATGGTGTTGTTGACTCCCATAGTTGCTTCATCGTGGATCTCTATAATGATCTTGTTAAATCCACTCAGGTTCATTGGAGGGAGGAGGGCGTGGAGAAAGTTTCAGTTGCATCCATGGCATTAAGCATTTGGAGGATTTGCCCTTCTTAGGAAGCAATGTGATGGGGTTTGGGGTGTTTTGTGTTTCAGACTTCTCTGCTCTTTGGTTTTGTTCCTGTATCACCAGTGCCTTACTTGGATGGACAGCAGTGGGACTGGTATTCACTAATATAACCAAATTTTATCATTAACGGTGCTTTGCTCTTAGATAGGCACAAATGTAGCCAAAAAATGTACTGCATCTGCCTCCATAAAGGCAGTTCCTTCCAAAAATGTCTTGAAAACAAATTTTCAGAAGTAAATATAACTTAAGTGACCTGTCCTCTCATAGAAAGGTATTATGATCTACCAGTTTCTCTTCTCTCACTGAAGCTGATGGGTTTATTGGACCTTCTATATTCGAAAGACGGCTCATGCTTTCCAAGTGTACCACACTTTTTTTTTTTGTGTGTGTGTGTGTACCTTCTGAATAAAAACCCTTAGAAGTAAAATATTAGCAAATAAGTGTCACAACAATATGGTGTATTTCTGTAATTACTTAAATACATTCTCTTGGAGCAAGTGCGCTCAGATGTCAGACAGTCAGCAGTCAGTCACAGTTACCTGACTTAAAGCTTGGGTGACGATGACATTCACTCTGCCCTTGGTGTAAAACTGCACGTGTGCTCATTTTTCCATTAGAAAATACACACCTATAGTCTTGCACGAGCAATGCCAGAGATACGAGGCTGACTTCAGTGCAGAGTATGATGAATACAGACGCTTGCATGCTTGGATGCAGAGTGTCGCTGAGAAATTCGGGAAGCTTGATGCACAGCGGAAACTTCTTTCTCCAGGGTCCAGAGAATATCAGGTAAAGAGGGAATGAAACTACGCAGACTGTGTTTCATCTCCCTCTTCAGCCCTTCCAGAAGGGCAGACTCTTCCATGTATTGCTCTATAGAATTATCTCGATGTGGTTTTAGAAGGCTTGCCAGGTTCAGTGTGTGAGTAACAGGTCGCAGAGCTGACACCTCAGCATCCTGGCCAGGGGAGGGGTGTGGTGACACAGGCTGGGGAGAAGAGTGGAAGTGTGTGGAAACCAGTGGCCATAATCCCAAGGTCTTCTATTTCCCCTGATTATCTATACTTAACTAGACCTACAGCCACCACGTACTCGTCTGCCAGGTGGCGGATCCCAGCTCCGACTTTGGCAGAGGAGGGTGTTAAAAACCTGGTGTTCTGCCTTTCTCACCTGCGCTGCCCTGATTTGGACACACAAATGCCATGTGTTCAATATCCGACATCTTTAATTCTATTGCATGCTGAGGATTTTTGATCGGCTTTTATTTAGGTTTTGGCCAGGTTGCAAGTGTGTTTGTGAGCAGGAGGAGGATTTTCACATCCCTGGTACGGCTCAGTCAGACACAGGGAAGCCTTGCAGAACTTGCATGCATCCTCAGACCCTGCCTGGGTGAGCTCTGATGGCTGAAGCTTGAGCAAACCCTGTAAAAAGTTGTTCAGCCCTCAGACTCCAGCTGTTGGAGCTGTCTGTGAACGCGCAGCAGCGTGAGCAACATCTCAAGGGTAATCTTCAAAGGCACGCTCCCTCTGTTGCCTGTTCACATGCTGAACACAAGGGTTTAGGGGTTCAATTTTGCAATGCAGGAGTGTGGTGGCTCAGGGATCAAAAAATAGCTTCAGTAAAACTGAGTGTCTTTTTAGTGTTTACATACGTTTGCATTTTCTGGTAGTAGTGGAATGTTCTTAATACTGCCTTCATGTTTTTTTCTTGAAGATTCTTGAGGAGGAGATCTTGGAAGAGTATCACAAGTTAAAGCAGGTATGCTTAACACTGGATTTGTGGGTGTTACTCACTGTAATCACCGAGAACGGCTCAAGGCTATTTTAAAGCAAAGGCCATGAAATACTAAACTGTGCAGACATGTTTTCATGCCCTGATTTTCTTTTTATCTTACTTTTACAGCCTAGCCCCAGCTACTATGAAAACAAGTACAGATGCGAGTATCTCCACAACAAGCTGTTGCATATTAAGAGACTCATACGGGAGTTTGAACAGCGGCAAGCAGGGTCACTGCACTAGTCTTCTGCTTCGACCAGGGCATGTGAATGAACTATAAAGCTTATTTATCTAAAACTTTAAAAAGATCGGTTGTTCTAAGGTTCTAAACATTAGTATCAGATTATGGCATTACAGAATTTTCAGTATTAGCAGATTTAAGTGCTTTTGTTGTTGTTGATGTTGCTTATATCTGTCTTTGAAGCTGCTCTTTTTGGTCCCTTCTTTTTTTCTTCAAGATTTATGTTTGTCCATGGAAATAATTCTATCAGTAGATGCTGGGGACCCAGCACTTCTACTATGATCTTGTGCCCGTTTTCGTTGAGAAAGTATTGTAGCGAAAAGACATTTTGCATAAGAATAAGGTGGTTTTCTGACCTTGTTAATGCAAACTCTTTGCCTTAAATGGTAGAAAGTTTAGAAATTTGCACAAAAACCCCAATCATCCCATTGTTTTGGAGGGTGAAAGAGGCCTGTGTATGTGCTGTATACAGCCGCTTTGTTACAACACAAACTCAGCCCTGCAACTTAAACCCACCATTGCAGTGGTTGCCTTAAGGAGTTTGCTTGTGTACATCTAGTGTAGCTAAATGAGGAACTGCACTGCTTCCCACTTTGCTGTAGCACCTGAGAAGCACGGCGAGGCCTATCAGTGTCTGACAGTATGTGCTTGTACTGCCTGTGTGCAAGAATGTGTGGGGGTGAGCATGCCTGCCGGGGAAAAAAACCAAGCTGCTACTCTAACGAGGCTCACGTTAAAACAAGTGGCAAGTGTTGCTGTAGGTTTTCCTACGAAACTGCTACTTCTATTATGGAAGATGAGAGCATTGCCACTTCAATAGTTTGTCAGCTTTAATAACCCTGGGGAAACCGGTACTTTACAAAAGTGGCATGTATATCGTATTTGGTCATGATTATAAAATTAAACATGTAGGTTACCTGTTTATATACTACTATAAAGTATTTTTTCAAGAGAGATACGCAAAGAAGCAATTGCCTACATGAAATATATATGTAAAGATTTTTATCCTGGGTGCCAGGAATATAACAAAGAACAGATGTATTTAACTCTAAATACTGTGATCACCAGACAGCATAAACTTTCATTTCATGCAGCTTTTTGGTTCATTTTGATGTAAAACATTGCTTACTTTATCATGTGAAAACACAGGTTATTGGGTCACAACTGAGCCAAATCTTTCTGTGTCTGTGTGTGACTTCTCAAAGTGCTGTCAACTGAAAAAGGCAGCATTATGTTTACAAATCTGATCTTGCATTTTTGTGCCAGAACATTGGTAGTATTGCTATAACAGACTTTCATCTCCAGCATTAAAAAAACCTGTTGTGTATCACTGTGAACCAGAAAATGTTTAATTGTCAGAAAACATGCAAGCAGGTAAATGGGAGAAATTGAGGTTTTGCCTTAAATCTGCGGGTTCAAAGACGTTACATTTATGGCAATGGAACAGCAAGCAAGGTGCGTGCCTTTCTGTGCTGTGGCAGTGATATTTGCGTCACCTACTTGAGACCAGGTTGACCTTGGTTCCCTTGTATCAGTACAGTTGTTTTCCGTTCCGTATTTCCAAAAGCAGCACGAACAGGAAGCAAGTAGTCTCGTGAGAGCTGCATGCGGCTGGGTGTAAGGACTCAGTTTGGTCCAGCAGCAGTAACGCCCGACTGGAAAGGCAGGGGCTGTAGATTCTCTGCAGTTCTGTTGCAGTGGGTGGTTACCTTTTACCCTAGAAACCAAGGGACTGTTCAGACTAAGATACAGACCAGTTCCTGGTGGTGGGACCCTTTTCAGCAGTCTGGCACCATTTATCTAAGCTGCATGCCTGGACCTGACATGAACTGCCATTACGGACACACGTTGCTGCTGCAGCCGTCTCGATGTGTTGCAATCACTCAGTGCTATCGCTGAACAGCTGAGACCTGGTGCGGTTAACTGATTTGGGGTTTTCCCTCACATCTTTTACCACTGACCTGTTTTTGCATGCTCCTTCTGGTGTACAGGCTGTGTGTGTGCGTGTTGCAGCTGGAGGTTAGTGTTACTGCAGAGGCTGTGGACTGCATATCGTGATGAGAAGCTACTGGAAAGGCCTTAACACAAGGCTTTGCCCATTTACATGGATCATTTCTGAAGCCGTGTAAGTATATGGACAGCCTATGTCTGAAAAACAAGCGCTGTAAATCTACATATCTCTTGTTTCCATGGAGTTGATGTGCCTGTTCCACGAGTGCCAAGACCCCCTGGAAGTGGGCCCTTTGCCTGTGTTCCTGCCTGTCCTGGAGAACTGGCCTGCTCACTCAGGGAAACAAACGCTGCCCATGAGGGAGCATCTCGCCTGGGTTACACTACTGTGGATCTGGGGCGAGTAATGGATGTGAAGAAGTGGAAAAGTGCACATCTCCTTCGTGGAAAATGTGACTCTCGCTACCATTTATAAAAACATATGTGGTCGAAAGGGAGGCCATGGCCTTCCCAGCTGGCTGAAAAAATGTACGGTAGCAGGATTGGCTTCCAGTCTGGCTGAGGTTCGAAGGAGAAAAACTGTGCCCAAAGTAAGTCGATTTTTTTTTTTTTTTTAAACTGTAGATAGGCTTTAAATGGTCACTTGAAGCAGCTCACTTGACTGCTTTTAAGTCTTCAGATCACTTGTTAACGTTACCAGAAAAAATCACACAGTAATATTCAGATCTTTTGGGATTGTTTTCTAAAACATGTCAACTAGTGTTGGAGGCAATTTACTTCAATGGGTTTTCAACAGAAACCAAGTTAAAGTGTTGATGTTGTAACTTTGCTCACCTGTCAGCTTTATAAAAAATGGTAGTTTTACAGCCAGTCTTTCCCAAACACATGAATGTTTATTCATGCAAAGACCTTTGGAGTAACAGTTCTTACCAGGAGTTTCTTCACATCTGCTTCTGTACCTGATGGCGAGGGTTGTGCCCAGCAGTCTTCTGCTGGGGAAGGATGTGAAGTTGATTAAGGGATGACAGTATTTGGGAACATGAAGGCTTAAAGCAGGGATGTGAATCCCCCTTTTTGAGTTTGGGAGTACTTTACTTTTTCAATTGTTTCCATCCAAACTGTATTAAGACTCTGTATGTGAAACATTCTGTGGTATTTTTTTAGCAAACACTTGAGCCATTGTTGCCCCTCTGTTCTACATATGTTTAATTTCAATAAAATGTTAACTTTGCAATCCTGAGGCTTTGCTCTTTGGTCTGGGGGTGAGGGGGTCCTCCTGCATCACTGCAATGGGGCAGTGCTGCTGTGGGGAGTGCCACGGCTCCGTGGGAGTGCAGGGTGAATGCCAGGGGCAACCATGGTAGGACACCTCGCTGTAATGTCCTGCTGCGAACGCAGGAGGCATGCCAGAGTGCTACTGCCAACTGTGGGTGGAGAAAGGAGGAAGATGTGCCTTGTATGATCCAGTGAAGGGCAGGTGGTTTGCCCTGGCCAGTTGGAGCAAGTGTGTTGCTTTGTTTCAAGCTGAGAGCACTCAGGTGTAGGTATTTCCCTCCAAGTTCTCCTGTCTTTCTAGCTACATTCCCTCTGGTTCAGTATCCTGCCTCTTACCCTGCTCTTTCCTGTGCTGACAGATGAACCATGTTCCTTGTTTTCTGCTCCTGGGACCAATTTCTGACCTGAAAATGTTCACGTGCTTAATTGCATGTCCTGTTTTTCTCACTCTTCCAAGGTTTGGACACCTGTCTGTGCTTCTTAATTACAAAGCACAGGGCACAGTCCTGGCAAAATCCTTCTCTATCCATCAAACTGAGGCATCTGGGAAGCTGTCACAGCCTGCAGGGATTTTTTTCCCTGCAGACGCACCTGCATGCAGAGAAGGACAGAAGTGGTGTCTCAGGGCTGGCTGTTGACTCATCACCAGGGCTTTCCTTTCAACAGAAGTTGCTCACCTGTGGCTCACTGACCAGGTATGAGAGGCCTGCATCACTCTCAACAGGTAATTGCTGGTTATATGTATGAAACTCTTGGTTTAACAGGCTTTTTGTAAAACCTGTTCTGGATCACATTTCACTGTGTGTGTAAACCTCCTTCAGGATGTGCGATTTCCACGTGCTTAATAGGCCTCTGCATTTCTGCCTGTCATTTCCATTCAGATGCCTAAAAAATAAACCAGAAATGAAACAATAGTTGTGTCCCCACTGGCCCCACCTGGGAAAAAATCCCCCCCACTCCTGAAAACCCAAAAACACTCCTGAAGTTTTCCACTGACATTACCAGTCCAGTAAGTTGTGGTTGCCTGAAAGGTGGAAATCTGCTGTACGTCCCTGTTAAAAATCAGATTTTAAGTACTAAACTTCCATAGAAAACACATTCTACACCTGAGGGTTAGCCTGCACTTGCACAAAAGGTCAGTGCTCTGAGAGCTTCAGCCATCTGTGAGCTCTTCACAGCCTGGATCTAACTCTTCCAGCTCCCAAACTCCCAGTGCTCGTTTGCATTTTCCTGAAAGCTATGTGCAAAAGCTCAAAGTTTGATGGTGAACAGGTATAGAAATACAGATATTTTTCACTTAGAACAAAGCCTTATACAGAAGGATGAGCAGAGCAGCAGAAGGTGGGGGGCTGGGAGCTGTACGGGGGTCCTAACTTGGCCGTGCCTGGCTGCCCAGCTCGGAGCTGGTCATGCGTCCCACAGCTGAGGAAGAGGTCCCGGCTCTTCCCTGCCTTAATGGCAGCTGGGTATCTCCACTGGGATGTCCGGGTAGGCTTGATCATCTCCTAAGGTGCCGAAGGCACCTCCACTAGTAAAGCCGAAAATGTGATGTTAGGAAAATGTGAAATTATTCTCTGGGAATCACGCTGCAAGATAAGACTGACCGAGAGCTCAATGGTTTCTTTTAAACTTTTCACATATTTTTAAACTTTAAAAATAAACTTTTCACTCTGCCGATGCTTGGTAGTAGCTGGGGAATGAAGCAAGAACCTGCCTGAGGACCTGGGGATGGCGCAGGGTCCCTGGGTGTGGAAGGAGATGATGGAGGTTGGCAGCC